AGCCTTAGTTCCAGGCTATGCTTTAGTCACAACCCTGAAATAGTGTTTGATGTAATACAATGAAGCTTCTGTTCTCTGTAGCTGTGCACCAAGACCTACGCAGGAGGTTTCCTGCAGGAATTTTTACTGTAATAGGTGTTCTGGGTGGCACCGACATTTTAAGTCCCAACGGGGTCAAATGAGGCTGATTTTGTTAACAGAAAATCAGTTTGCAGAATTCATGGACCGTTGCAAAAATAATTTTTAATGTAAAAAAATATGAACTACACAAACATTAGTTACACAAAAGAAAGAATAAAAAGTATAAGTCATTTCCATCAAAAGACGTTTTTGAATGCGTGTGCCTACTTTAGGTGTTACCTAGAGTTAGGAGTGCATACTGTCCATCACCACAATGTTATCAGATGATCTGCAACACATAGTATCACATCAGCAACAAGTACATGGCCCTCGGATATTCACAGAGTCCTCATTGTGATATACATTCGATCAAGGTATTGAACACAATCAGTTCAAGTAGTTGGCTGTGTCAGCATGTGTAGGCTGCAAAAGGTTTATTCCCTGCTGAAAAAAGAAGAAAGAAAACACAACGTTTTGGCCGTGGAGCCTTCTTCGGGTGGCTGGCACAAACATGGAGTTTCCTTTCTTCTCTTTTCAGCCGGGAATAAACCTTTTACTTGTACACAATCAGGCGTTGATCTCAAATACAACGTGTTGTGAAGCGGTTACGTTCTGCTTCTTTCATCTGTGCTTCAGGTCACTTTGACAGAGAGAGAGAGAGAGAGAGAGATGGAGTCAGCATTTCCTCGTCTCAGTGGTCTAAGGGTATCTCCCGATGGGACATGTGACGTCGTTGTCGCTTGGGCTGCGCTGCACAACGTCTCCACCCTCGGGAAGCAGAGAGCTTCTCCGCACCACCTGGGCCCTGCAATGCCCTTCCTCCCAAGCATCCGGATCGACTGAAAGGCAGAGCCGTGACGGACATAACAGAACATTGTTCTAGTGTGAATGCTGACCAGCTTGTTTTAGGTTATATTACATTTGAGAGATATTATGTTTTTTTCCTCATTGTGTTTAGGTTACAATTCTTCCAGTTATATTTAGGTCACATTTTAGCGACCTTGAGGGGGAAAGAGCTTTGCCTGTACTAGACGTACCTCTAGTACACCTGAGCACTCTGTTTGAACCCTTAATAACTCTGCACCTGAACTCCTCGAACGCTACAGCGCTTTGTCTTCCACTCTTAGACACACAGGAGGTTCACTGCTGCGCTTCTTAAGTAACATGAAGTCAGTGAAAATTTCCCCGGCTAAATTGTGATGTCAAAAGACGAATGAAATCCAG